CCAATCTGACTAGGCAGAGCTGATGAAAGGAAATGCAGATAGGTCTCTTGTGATACAATAGTGAATAATTGTTATCTGGACTGATTATGAGGGTTGGTAATGTAAAGGTATATGTTTTGTAGCAAGGAGGGCAGTGATTAGCTTTGCAGTGTAGGAGCAGAGGTCCCTGGGACAACAAGGGAGAAGAGCAGAGAGTGGGACCCTACCCAGAGAAACAGTGACGCCAGAGATGGAGGCAGAAATGATGATATGGAGAGATGGAGTGGCCGGGGACTTTAGATCCAGAGAGGGAGAAGGGCTGTGTGCTGATGAACCGGGGTACAGGCTTGTGGAGTATACCCTTTGGTTGGTTGATGATGCAATGAGGGGATGGTAACTATGGCAATAAAACGATATACGATAGGATGAATCTAAAACTAAAGTTCTCCCATGTACCATGTAAACTATCACATAATTCACAATAAAACATGAAAAAAAAAAAAAAAAAGGTTTGTTTTAGCCTCAAGGATCAAACTCACAAGTTGCTCCTGGATACCATATAGAGTGTCTCTATGGGTCCAAACCAACTCTATGGCACTTAACAACAACAATGTATATATATTCACTCTAAAGTGGAAATGTTTTCTTAAAAAATAAAATTTCCGTGTAAAATCTTCCATTAAATATAAGACCAAGAAAAATTAATTCTTAAATTACAGATATACATGAAGACTCAGAAATTATTAATTTATTACCAAATGTATAGATTTTTCTTAGCATTTTTTAGCTTGCTTCCAGATTTTTTTTTCTCAATGATATCTTCTAATCATCTGTGTTTACTTACTTATGCTTACATGGAGAGAACCTCAAATTTCATAGAAAAATGAAATGAAAAATAATGTAAAATTTCCATGAAACTTTTTGAAGCCTCTTGTGTATATTATGGAAATCTTACTTTTTTATGCTTAATATAAGCTAATGATCAGTTCAGTGTATTACAAAAGACATGGGTCCCAGAATGAGAAGTTTTGTATTTAAATCTACTACCAGTTTATATTAATACCCAAAACATTCCTAGTCACTTTTTTACTCATATATAAAACAAACAAAAAACCCTTAGCATTGGTAATGTGATGATTAAATGATATGTTCTAAAATTTCTATAGGAAAATTTATCACATGTATACCACATAATAACAGTAGTATTGTTTGAAACAGCAAATAATAAATAGGTAAATAAAATGGAAACAACCTCAGTATTCATTAGATAACTATGGTATGAGATTTTGTGCAGTGAAAATATAACACAATAATAAATTGATTAAATTAGATCTACTTATGTAAGTAGATGAATCTCAAAACCAAAATGATTAATGAAAACAAAAATTTTATAGAAGAATGCATACAGCGTGATAGTATTTGTTAAAAATATATATGTAAATAATCATTTTCATTATTTAGTGACATAAATATTTATTATAAAATTTTAATATAATAAATACAGCATTGAAATAAAAAAGACTAAAAGGTTATTCTTATTTTTCTATCTTTGGTAAGTAGAAAATGAAGTAGAAGAGACATAGTGAACCCTTTCAGGAGTCTGATATGTGAGATTAGATTATTGGCAGGGCTGGAGGAAAGCAACATACACAAAAAGTGGCATTATTGGCTGCCATCTTTGAGCATAATACCACTATCTTTGAATGAGACAACACTGCTTAAAACAGTGCTCAAAATCTGAGGGCAAATGACCCACTTTACCCACTGCCATTGAGTCAATTCTGACAAATGTTGACCCTATAAAATGTTTCTGGGGCTGTAAATCTTTATGAGACCCTCATTTTTCCCCTAGGTAGGTTTGAACTGCCAACCTTGTAGTTAGCAGTCCAGTTCTTGTCCAATGGCACCACCAGGACAAATTAGAGAGATGTAAATCAAAACAATAATGGAATGTCATCTCCCTCCATCATTAATAGCAATATTCAAAACCAGAAAACAACACTAATGTGGGTATGGAGAGGCTGTGGTACTAAAATGGTACAACCACTGTAGAAAATGGTATGGCACTTCGTCAAAAATTTGGGAATAGGAATACCACATGACCTAGCAATTCTACTTGGTATATCTCCTAGCGAAGTAAGAGCCATGATAAGAATAGATATATGCACAATCATATTTATCACAACACTATTCTTAATAGCAAAAAGATAGAAAAACCTATTTGTCTATCAGTGGAAGAATGGATAAACAAACTTTGGTACATAACACATAATGAAATACTATGCAAAATTAACAAATAACACCAAACCTGAGAAACACCTCATAACATGGATGAAACTAAAGGCATGCTGAGTGAAATTAAAATGTCACAAAAGGACAAATAGTGAATGAGACTACTATTGTAAAAAGTCAAGAAAAGGTTTTCCCAGTAAAACATTTTTTGATGGTTACCAGAAGTGAGAGGAGAGTTTAGAGGATAAACATTTGTTAACTTCATTTAAGAGGGTGACAATATATAATATGAAGGAACTTCAAAAAAAAAAAAAAAAAAATAAACATTTGTTAACTTCATTTAAGAGGGTGACAATATATAATATGAAGGAACTTCAAAAAAAAAAAAAAAAAGTATGGAGGCATAGGAAGATATGGGGAAGAGTGCAAGAGTTAAAGACAACAGAGGTAAATCCTTTTATATACACAATCCTGTAATAACAGTGGAATCCTGCTGTGGTGCTGAAGGATAAGCACTGGACTGCTAATCACAAGGTCGACAGTACATACCACCAACCACTCCTCAGAAACCCTATGCAGGGTCACTATGATTCAGAATTGACTCCATGGCACTTAACAATACCAACAGGGTGATTGTTGTTATTAATAATAAATTAACAATAGATACAGGGTTGCAGGAACCAACTCAATGACACTTAACAGCAGCAGTATAGTTTCTGGCATGGGTATTTTAAGAAATTGCTACTGGCATACTAGAAAGAAAGAATATATAATTTAAGGATTTTGAAATCCTCAGTCCTAATTTCATCTTTGTTGTCTAAAGTTCTACTATTTGTAGTTCCTTACTTTCTCAGAGGGGATCCATTAAACAAAGTAATTTATTAAGGTAATATTTATGCAAGTAACCTTTTCAGAATAAAGGATTTTAAAGATGTTGTTAAGTGCAGTTGCATTGGTTTGAGATATAAGTAAGTGTATTATTGATGGGGCAAGGATGATGGCTGGGAAGAGCAGGATTTCTTGATCTAGTAAACTTCTTTACTGAAACTCTTCTTAAAGTTTTAATATAATCTACAATATATGGCTTTTGTGTGCTGAATTGTTTTTGTTTTTTTTTTAATATTTCACATTCCTTGTTTTCTGAAAACATGTTTTGAAACATGATGCTGTAAGATTCTATTCTATTTTATATCTCTTCCTAGGAAATGACATAAAGGGAAAAGAAAGTATATATTCACGTAGTAACTACTAGGGACCTGAGGGAGGTAGATTGATATAAAACAAATTTACTGGGCATAAATTCATGACTTTATTTTATTTAACAGCTCATCCCCAGACCTTCGTTTTAGCATGGCTCTGTGTAATCAGGAGAAAATGTTCAGACAACAGAGAAAAGAAAGAATAAAGGAGAACATGAAGAAATTCTTGGGTCCAGAGAATAGTGAAGGCTTGTCCTCTACCCGTGAAGTGAGTTGGAAATTTTTTTAACAGTAATTCAAATTTAATAATGTCTTTGTACCTGTTCTCTAAAAGTGTCACCTAGATATGGCAATATTAAGACCAAGTATTATTTCTTCAGCCTTTGGGGGTATAGTAAGTGGTTTATAAATGGAAAAGCATTGAGGCAAGTCATCCTGAATGCTGTCCATATTTTGTCATATTGATCAAATGTTATTTTTTAAAGAATAACATTATTGTTCTTGTTGTTAGCTACTGTCAAAATGACCCCTAATTCATGGTGAGCCTATGTGTTACAAAGTATAACTGCTCCAAAGAACTTTCTTGGTTGTGATGAACAGCTAATTGTGTTCAAGCTGCCACCTTTTAGGTTAACGTGGTGGTAGTGCTATGCTGTTGAGTTGGTTCTGACTCATAGTGACCCTGCATATAGTTTGTGAGGCTATAAATCTTTATGGGAGCAGAAAGCCTCATCTTTCTCCCACAGAATGACTGGTAGTTTTGAACTGCTGACCTTGAGATTAGCAACCCAACTCATAAGCACTATGCTATCAGAGCTCCTTTTTAGGTTAGCATTTGATTACAAGTTGCTTATGCCACCCAGACTCCTTTAAAGACTCAAACTTGTGTACAAATAGGACATAACAAAAAAATATATAGTCTCATATGTAAGAAATTCATTTAATTAATTTTAATAAAGAATAAAATTAAGCAACTATAAGAACTATCTTATTACAGAATAAGAAGACTATAAAAACTATCTTATTACAGAATAATAAGAATATGTTATAAAATTTAATAATAATAATACAATTAACATAAAAGCAGATCTCTTTTAATTCCCTGATGGGAAATATGAAAAATGTTTTTTTAATCATCCTTATCCACATCTACTTTTATGTTGATTGCATTATTATTATTAAATTTTATAACATTTTCTTTTTATTCTGTAATAAGATAATAATATCAGCAGTGAGAAGAACGGAGAAAATCAATGCCTAACTTGTCCAAAGGATTACCTCCTGACAGCGAGCCAGGGGGTGCTCTTTTCCCAAATATAATTGCAGATTCCCAGGGTGCTTTTTGTGAGTTTAGGATCAGAATGCCAATCTGCTAATACTAGAGTGACTCCAAATGTTATGGAAGCACATCTGAGATAAGATGCTGCTTATGGGAATTTTTGCTAAAAGGAAGCAAAGGAGACAAGTGGAATCTCCATTCAAGTTTATTTTTTTAAAAGGCAGATTCCACTGTTTGGTTTTTTTTTTTTTTTTGCCTCATCTACTGCAATAATGAACATTCTCAGCAACCAGACTGTTGACATTCTCTAGAATGTCTCTGAAGGAACACACAGTTATTGTGAAGCACCCCAGAGGAACTTGCAGAGGGATTTCAGTCACATTAATGCATAACTCAGTCTCCAGGGAAAGGAAATGAAGACAATGACAAATGATGGGGAAATAGAAAGGAACTGGCTATAGTTTGTACTATCTGTAGTCATATGCAGAATATGATCAAGGGTGTTACACTGGGCTTCCGTTACAAGATGAGGTCTGTGTATTCACTTCCCCATCAATGGTGTTATCTGAGAAAATGAGTCTCGTTAAATATGAACCGTCTTGGGTGAAAATACATCTATAGGGTTCAAATGAGGACAGGTGTTGCTTGGTCAATATTTTAAGCTCAGAAAAATGAATTCGTTTGTGTCAAATTCACTTGTTTTAAGTCAATAAGATATAACTGTTAAAAAACAAGGATATGTGAACATTTTGGGATGGTATCTATGTGTCTGAAAAAGGAGTCATCCAACAGGCCAAAGAATAAGATACAAAAGCTATCCAGCTATGGAAACAAAAAGAGATAATTTATAATACCTATCAGTGATACTTTTTATGCAATAAAATTTTATCTAACTTAAAAAAAAAAAAAAAAAAGGCAGATTCCTCTTCCATCCTTCATCTCGCTGGTCACCGTAACAGATCCCTGGTAGAAAGTGTGGTTAATTATTTTCCAAAGGTTACTTAGTCTTTGAAAGGAATTCCTTCCCTACATATTACTCAGAAGTTTCCAGCTTCTTGGCAAGTGATTTATATTTTTATAGATAGTAAAACATTCAACAGTAATAATACATTTTTCCTGGGTTGTTTTTTTTTGTTTGTTTGTTTTTAATCATACTCCTTATTTGGTATGGTGATATTTTTGGAACACAGGAATATTTCATACTTGTTTTTTTTTTCATTTGTTTAATTGGCTCAGCTGCCATATATCATTTATTTAGACATTGTGCTAAGTAAGTGCTGGAGACAAATAAAGCTGAGATGGTTAACACTCATTGACTCATTAATATAACACAACCCATTCCCAAATGGGATTATGACCATAAACATGTTATTGTTGTTAAGTGCTGGCAAGTAAATTCTGACTCATATCGACCCTGTATAGAAGTTCCTAGGAGCGACCACCGACCTTGAGGTTCAAATTGACTTTGTGGTCTAGTGCTCGTTCTACAGTGCCACACCAGGACTCCAACCGTAAGCATAGAGGTTAAGATTTACACCACACATTTTGGGGAACAGTATGATAGGCTTTTGGTTGTTAACCAAATGGTCAGTGGTTCACCAGCCACTCTGTTATCACCATCATTACTAGTTACTGCCAAGTCTATTCTGGGTCCTGGCAACTCATGTGTGTTAAGAGTAGAACTGTGCTCCAGCACTACAGAGAAACAGTTGTCGTTATTTTCAATGGCTATATTTTCAGAAATAGATCAACACACCTTTCTTTCAAGGTACTTTGTGTGAAGTTAAACCTCCAACTTACTGGTTTACTGCTGAGTATGTTAACTATTTGCATCACCCATGACTCTGAACTCTCTTAAAAAACAAACACAAAATGGCAGTTGTTCAGTACTCTCCATCTTCCTCCCTACATGTATCATTAGACTCTACCTCTTCATGGGATACTTCCTATAAATATAGATTCTAAACTCCCATATCAAAATTTTAAAAAGAACAAAGAATATCTGTCTCCCTGTAATCTATTTTCCTTTCTACATTCTGCTCTGTCTTCTCATTTTAACAAACATCTCTCTAGAATTTTCTATGGAAACTCATTCTACTTCCTCATGTTTTTGCCCTCATTATTCTGTGATAGCTGTTCCACTGGTTACCAGTACTATTAAAAGTCACTGTCCTGGCTTTACCTTCTGTGGCCTCGCAGTCACAAATGACAAAAATTGCCCTACTTATTGAAACATTTTTTACCCTGAAACTGCTTACTTCCTTCTGATTTTTATAGTTCCTATTTGGTATCCTTTACCATATCTTCCTTATCTTTAAATAAGAGTTCCTGAACACTCAGTACTAGATTCTCTTCTTTCCTCATTCTATAATTTTCTTAAGTGATTTCTTACTCTTCCATGGTGACCCTGTCAGCTGTGTCTAAGAACTTTCACATTTATATCAACAGTTTAGAACCTCCCTTTTGATTGAACTTCAATTCTGAATATCTATATACCTATTGGATATCTTCAGTCCTGAATACCTATGTACATCTTTGATACCTTGCAACATTTCAAATCAGAATGTTTAAATTTGAACACAAAATTTTCTTCTTAAAAATTACTTCACCTTTGTTGATCCTTATTTTAGTGAATGTTTTTATTTACCCAGTTACTAATGCAAGGCACTTGAGAGCCTTTTGTAACATCTCCTTCTCACATCTATTCAGTAATAAAGAGATCACAACTTCTAAAACAAACAAAACCACAATAAACAAAGCAAAATGCTTCAAAATGCACCCATTTTAATTGGTTTGACATGCTACAACTCTCATTGCTACACACCAAGTTCCACATTCATCAACCATATTGCAAAAGCAAGCAGACCACTGAATCTCTACTTGTGCCTACCCTCCTCCTTCCAATGTTCACTTTACACTGAAGGTCTTTTAAAGAGTGATTTTTAAAAAACACAGATCTGATTATTAATCCCACACTAAAAATTCTTCCATAGCTCTTAGGGTCCTGGCTTTGCAGCTATTTTCAATTTTATTTTTGCCAGTTTATCCCAAATTCCTTATACTCCTGTGCACTAGATACCTCGACAGAGCTCTTTTCTAAATGAAGCTCTTCCCCATGTTCTACTTCTCACTACACTATGCACCGCCTTCCCTACCTCCATACTATTCCTCTCCACACCTCAGCCCCCTTTCAAGGAACTAACCACCTTTCATTCTTTATTCAGCACACAGGTGACTTCTTTTGAGATTCTTCCTTGACAAACCCCTCCCTCCACCTCCCTCCATTCTAAGCTAGGGCTCTCAGTTATAGTCTCTTATGGCATGTATATGCATTTTACCTTCCCAGCATTTACCAAAATTGTACTTAAAAGTACTTGTGTAATTATTTTTTTAAATGTTTGTTTCTTCTTTCCACTACCATGGAGTTGTTTCCAATTCATAGCAACCCTGTATAAGTTTCTGAGGCTACCTTTATGGGAGCAGAAAATCACATCTTTCTCCTGTAAAGCAGCGGTGGGTTTGAACCACTGATCTTGCAGTAAGCAGTTGAGTATTTATGCTACAGTGCCACCATTAGCATATATCTATTTCAAGAGGACAAGGCAATGTCTGTTTTATTCTCAACACATAGCATAGCTTTTAGCACATGGTAGAAGGAGTCTCAGTAAATATTTTGTTTTATGACTTAAGAGAAGCACTTTCCATACTGTTATTGGCTGAATTATATCCCCACAAAAGATATGCTGACATTCTAACCCCTGCTATCTTTGAATGTGACCTTGTTTGGGGGATGGGATACTTCTTTGAAGATCTTATCAGATATGTCAATGAGATCATACCATAGTAGGGTGGGTCTTCAGCAGGCGGTCACTAAGGAATGCTGGCATCCACTAGATGCTAGGAGAGAGGCCAGAAGAGAAGTCAGGAGAGAGGACTGGAAAAACTGCTTTCTCAAAACACTTGGGAAACATGGGATTTGGAAGGCCAGA